TGATGGAGCGATTCCACGAGGGTAAAAGGAAATTTTGGATCGGATAACATTGCGAAAACCAGACATAACATAAACATAAAACTTAACGCCGCGACGGGTTTTTTTGATCACTTATATATAGAACGTTGAAGGAATCTAATACGATTAAATTTACGAACATACAATATACGAGAAACAAAAAAAGCGAAGACGAGAAGATATTCCCGTACTTACACGGTGAAAACGCGAACCGAGAAGAAACGCTGAGAAAGACAAATTATAACATCTCCAACTCGTCACTTTTATCTGCTTCAAATAACAAAACGTTACGATCTCTCACGGATACGAACTTCTTTCGTTGTTTCTTTTGAGAAAAAAAGAAGGGAATTAAAATCGCGCGGAACGCAATTTCGTAATATGTTCGCTGTTTAAATCGAAATACCTCATCTTCGGTTTGCGTCGTCGTTAGGGAACTCCCGTACTATGTGGGTCAAATCCGAGAGTGGACCGCAAAGTCCGAAGCCTATGCGCGTCCTCTTCTCTTCCCTTTGATATTATCGATTCAGACCGCACGGTGTGCTCCTGGCTGCTGCTGCCGCTGCCGCTGCTGCTGCTGCTGCTGCTGCACGACAGCCGTTTACGTACATGCTTCCCGCGATATGACAAACAGCATGACGCAAGCGACGCCTGCAACGTCGCCGATATAATGCACACGTGTCGTTGATACGGCACGAAACGTCAAGACGTGTTTTCGAACGTCACTATAACGATCGAAGTAGACGCGAGAGAGAGAGAGAGAGAGAGAGGCGAAAGCAAGGCGAAGTGTGTGAATTTTCTCTGGTCGGGACCAGAGAAAACGCCATCGTCGTATGTAAATGTCCTCGATACAGAGAGAAGATGTTCCGACACGAATGAACATTTTCGAATTAAATTGCACAAAGTTTGCGCAAAATGCGCGACGTGCGAAATTTTTACGAGCGAATTTCGAAGCGCGTCTCTGCTTATTTAAATTAGATATCTTAAAAGTTCTGCGGAAATAGTCCAAAAAAAAAAAAAAAAAGGAAAAATCACACCGTGAAAAAAAACAAAAGAATCAATTTGAGCCACAGACACAATTGACATTCGGATATATTTATTCGCTTACGCGTCAATTCCTGGACGTGGGATCATCTTCAGAACAAAAAAAATAAAAAATAAAAAAAATCCAATTTCCCGTACATCAATGTATGAAATTGCGGTTAAATTGTGTTTATTCAAAAATACAAGTTATTTAAAAAATAGAGGAAAAAAGGGAACGGCTAAATAAATGAAAAAATAGATGAAATAATAATTGAAACTTATACAAACCCAAAAATTCAAAAAAATACCGGCAATATTTCGCACAACGTATTCGACGAGGTGGCATATTTTTGGGGGGACATAGTCGCTCTATGAAAAACTTTAATTATCGAATAACGCATGTATGAGATTTGATTAATCTTCTATCTACTACGCAAACAAATAAAACCGGTCTAAAACACGTAATATACGTATCGTAGAAGTCAGACAAGGGCGTAAACTTTTGTAAATGTGCGACATACACAAAAGCTCCTCGCGAAAAATACGCCATCTCGAGATCCACTGAAACGTGAGGGGCTTACGTTAGATACTACACGTGACGACGTGTTGCACACGTACTGATATCTCGGATAAGAGAAAACCATAAGAGATAGCGAGTTCGGTTAGAGAGAGGAGAAGAAATATTCTAACCATCAACGGGATGGCACCGGAAGCCATTACGCGCGTCGAACAACGAACATGCGCAACAAAACTGCTCGCCACGCCTGTCGCTGCGATAAAATCATATCTCCCATTGATGCGCGTAGCGTGTAGTTCGCGGCGAATATCTCGGACGGATCAAACAGACGAACGGGAAAAGATAGAAAAAGAGATAGAGAAAGAGAGAGAGAGAGAGAAAGAGAGAAAGTCATCTGGAAAATGTTGGTTTGCTGAACCCGCATTTGGACGGAGGATCTTGTTCCTAATTCGCCGGTGCGCTTGTAAGGTTCAATTTTTACGTAAATCCGCTCGCGGAAGTGTTCTTACTCGCGTAAAGAACACACTAGAAATTCAACGGTCCATCGTGCGGCATTAATCCGTTTGCGGTTGCGACCGTGAGACGTAATGCTCTAATTTTCTGCGAATTTACGAGGGTTTTACGAGACTACATCTCACATATCTCGCCGGTCAATGGATCAATTTGTCGGCGAGTCCGAGTGATCTGTTCCGTTCATTTTCCAGACAGGTTCCCCGGCGTTTTTCCGTGACCGCTTCCTCGACATTATGGGAAAGCCAAGGGGATTTTTATCGGCGCTAACAATTTCACTTTGTCGGCTTGCTTTGTTTTCTCTCTCTTTCTCTCTCTCTCTCTCTTTCTCAATAAAACGATTATTCAAAAAAATACGTACAAAAAACAACGTAATAAAATAAAATCTATTATTTAAATTTTACTAAAAACATCGACGCGCTCGTGCTTTTACAGTGATATACAACAGTAAAAATTTAAATTTAACAAAAGTCATCTGGAGCTTAGTCATGCGTTTGAATATATGTATATATATACATATATACATATATAGAATTAATATAAAGTCAGTGACCTTTAAAAAAAACGGAGCCACTTTGCGGGCTCATAAATGTTGTGTACATCACTCGCGCATTTTTCTGAGACCGACGAGAAAGAGAGAGAGAGAGAGAGAGAGAGAGAGAGAGAGAGAGAGAGAGAGAGAGAGCACGAGTTATTGCGTACGGCTGGTTTTTCCGTTGTATAAGAAAATAATATGGAGACCCCGGCGCTTTCACGGCTGACGCGGCATTGTATAGAACGCGACGTTTTTATCGAGCGGGGCAACGTAATTGTAAAAAATGTTATTTATGCCGAGGCTGCGCCGTAGAAAGACGCGGACGAACGCATCGTTGCACTTTAAAGTCCGGCGCAAATTTTATTTCTGGCAAAAAGCGTTTGGATAAAACTTCGCTATGGCTTAGCCCCTGCGGTATCTTCGGCACCGAGCGAACACAACCGCCGGCACACAAAAGGAAAAAGGATCCCGTCCGATACGGCCGGGGAAATCCACATAGCGAAATGTTGGAACGTCTGCTGGAATCTTTTCCTCTTTTTCTCTCTCTCTCTCTCTCTCTCTCTCTCTCTCGCTCTCTCTCGCTCTCTCCCTCTCTCTGTGAATAGTTCAAAATTTCCCGTCGTCAATGCGCTTCATCTGTGCATATTGAAAGACAACAAAAAGAGAATGAAGAGAGAGAGAGAGAGAGAGAGAGAGAGAGAGAGAGAGAGAGAAAGAGAAACATCATAAATAACGATTATTTAATTTCGATCGAGAGGGATATACACTTCGCAATGCGAACAACCTGTACACGCTCGTGTTTCGACGAGCGTTTCGAATTTTATCTCCACGAGCATACTGAATTTTTACGGCCCTATTGCGGCGTATCTATGCGCAAATGCATCAAAGCTTTCGTACGGTCTCGCGCGATATGCAGCCGAAGACATTTTATCGAAGGTATAACGAAAAGCGCTTTTCGTTCTTTATTTTATGAAAAGGAACGTAAAATGTGCGGCTCATAATGCGCTTGCGGTATAGGGTACGTAGGGTAATAGCCGCTACTTTATAATCGTTGTAAAAGCATTTATATATAAATGAGCAAAATGAAAGTACGACGTACTCGGTTTTAAATACGCGCGCGTGCACAAAAATAATATATCGGCGCGCTTTTTGTTTTTCTTTTTTTTTTTTTTATCGTTTTCCGAGTAATTTATTATTATCGACATTGGCAAAGTGAAAACGGCGATTGTTGTTTTATCACGTTGCGATGTTATCGTCGCGATGTTATCGAAACGGCTAAATAGACGCGAATATATGAATTAACGAAGGAGTTTATCCTAATATTAAATGCGATTATATATATGCGATTTTGAGCGAGCGATAATAATAGGCTGATACTTATCGCATTATGCAGACATTCACGTATCACCGAACAATATAATCACGCGCGCGGGGGGAGAGGGGAAGGGGGGGAATTCTCTCGCGGAAAACAAAACAAATACGATACATAATTGCATACAAAGTGAAAGATTATTCTGATAGAACGAATTCATTTATATGCGCCGGCAAATTGCACTTTTTATCAATATGCAGACATATCTCGTCCGACTTGGCAACTTACATTTTTATTGCGTACGTGTTTAAAATAGTAATCCACCTCTCTACTTGCTTGTCTCTAAAAAACGAATTAATTTCAGAGAGAAATTCTCTGAAAACGATTACACCGTACAAATTACATTTTTGCGGTGGTGTTCGAATTAATTTAACGTCTCAATTAATTAATTTCGAATAATTATAATTTCCCGATACTTTTAGTGAATCGCGCGCGCGCGCGTGTGTGTGTCTGTGTGTATATGAAACTTGATAACACGAGAGAATGATAAAACATGAAATATAAAAAATAATAAGTTTTTTCAACTAGCATTTAGTTCGACGGTCAATACGAGCAAATATGCACGTGCAAATATAGTTTTAAAAGTAAATTAACACGTTTTACACCGCACCGGGTCGCGTATACGCTCCGCTCTGACTTTTTCGTTCAAACTTTGAAATTTTTCCTATTAAATGTGGAAATTTGTGAAAAAAATGTTTTGCAAAGTCGTGTATTGATGTATCACGCGGTTATTGTACGTAGTTTGGGTGTTTACGCGGCGCGTGACGATCATTTTTTACCCGATCGGAAAGTCGCCGAAAATCGATCCGGCGCAGAATGCGTTGTATTTCGCGCATAGAAATTCGCGTTGAGATTTCAGTTCAGGAAAATCCACCCAAGATGCGCTTAATAATGTGCGCGAACAAATAAATTGGCTGTTGAGTCAATTTTTTCCACCGCGCGCACATTTATACTCGCGTAAATGCAAACGTCTCTCGCTATCAGCCTCTCGTATCTAACCGTTCCGCATTTCTGTGTGTGTGTTTTAGTACCCATATCACACATCGTGACACTGGTCGGAGATCCCACCTATCTTCCATGCGACATATCAACCACTCACGAAGGGGACTCGGTGCATCTTGTGGTCTGGTATCGTGAAGATCTCGGTACATCAGTTTACAGGTAAAGTGCAATCAATCTATATACAAGTAAACATACACACACAAGCGCGATGTAAACCGCAAACTACCGTCACCCCGAAACGGACCGCAAACAGCGGTGAGCTTTGTGCGGTGCGACATTGATATAGTCGCTTTTGTCTGTACGAAAATTTTCTTCAAACTCGATTTTCGTTGGCGCTTTCGCTTAGTGTGGGAAAAGCCACACTTTTGTTCGGCGCGAGACGCGCGAGACACTATTGCGAATATATCACACGAGAGAGAATAGCAATTCTCGTCGATGATTACCGAAAACAACGACTCAAAGTGATCGCGTTATCGGAAATTTGTACGAAAACACAACAACGCACACTCAAAGTGAGCGCGCGTTATCGAAAATTGTTTACAAATTACTGTAGTGTTGTACGCGTCGCGTGATTTAAATGAGATCGATAAAGTATTGTACTGGTGTTATTATTATTGGTGTTATATTATCATCGTCCGCGAAATTGTGAAGATAAATGGCGATATTTGCAGCATTTGTGATTTGCAATCAATTTTGTGCCGTAGAAAATTTGCTATTCTTGACAAAGCGCCGATCGGACTCGCGCGCGGACGGATGACGCTTTTTACTACGCCGTATTGCGGGCTCGATCCAGAATTATGTAGATTTAATTTTGCGGCCATGTTATGCAACAACAGTTTCCCGTCGCGTCGCGGCGCACATACTAATGACAGTCGGACAGGGTGTATCGCAATACGCTCGGAAATATGTTTACGATCGTTTAAAAAAGAAAAATACAAAGCGGGGCACACGATGCGGCGGTATATTTTACGCGCACATTGTGTTGCGCCGCGTTGTTGTTGTTATTCGAAGTGACGCGGCAAGAGAGCGAGACCAGATTTAAATGTTTCATTTGATTTTGCGCCATATTTTAATTACTCGTCGTATGTGCCGCATGTCACCGTTTATACGCGATGTCGGTAGCAACAAGGTAGCGTTGCGCGCTCTCTTTTGAGGTCGTCAGAAAAAAAAAAATAAATAAATAAAACAATGTAACGAGCGCGCGCGTGTAACGCAATTTTATGATACTTTCCATCGACAAGCAACTTAAGTAGATTAAAGCCTGTAGGTAGACAATAAAATTGCATGCAGTTTCTCCCCCAACATGATTTTTCTCCGCTTCAATTTTCCCTCGCGTAAACCGTATCCATCAAGTATGTAGAAACGAACAAATAGCTTCCTTTTTCTAGAAAGGTTTTTCACACACAGCGGTGGTTATCGATTGCCTCGTTGAAAGTATTTTTCAACTTTGATACCGAAAACAGTTAATTAAATATTAGCAAATTATTACTATTATTATTATTATTATTATTACATTAAATATATCAATATATATTTCGTTATAAATTAAATATTAGCAATTCGTTTGTCAATTTGTACGATTATAAAAACTTGAAGAAACATTGCAGCAAGGTTTTAAAAACAGAATCGGAAGAATATACACCTTGAAAAAATTTGCCGGCACGCGAAATATTTTGCGCTGACGTGGAGAAAGAACGAATTTTTTACTGCACAGCTTTTCATTAAATTCCCTCTCTCACAACAGTTTTTTGGCTTTGCAATAAAAATAATTATTGTGTACCGATGATATATCGTATTTTTTTTCTCTCTTTCTCTCTCTCTTTTTTTTAATAAACAAGCGTTTATCTGCATCGCAGATTAGCGGTAGCTGTATTACGTTAAGCACTTTGTATCTCGGCATCGCGCTGCTTAACATGCAACTCTCGCGTCCCGCCTACACCATTATTCACTTCCTTTCATAGAAGAGAGCAGAGAAATGCCGTACCGATGTTGCGAGTATCCCTTCTCGGACGGGTTTTTATCGCCGCGAGCGATTTTAAAACCCTTTCAAATGTCATTCTATACATACACCCGAGAAAGGATAGCTCGTCGCGCTAGTAACGAATCTTAAAAGGCAGAAAAATAGCAACGGGGGTGGCCGCGCTTTAAGCGGATTCGCTCGTTCGAATTCCGCGAAGAGAGATCCGCGAGGGTTTGTTCCGCGAGTCGAGGCGCTAAGTAGAAAATACTTTTCATCTCTCTCGACAATAAATCGCGCGGGCGTGGAATATACAAACGCGACGCGGATTCGCGATTCCACGTTCGGAATGCTAATAAATCGATTATTATACAGGACTAACAATGAAATCTATTTATTTGTTCGCGCGACGCATTTTAACGGGCGCTCCCCCGCCGCGCCGATCGCTCTTTATACACGGTTGTGAATTCAATCGGACATCGTTCGAATTTAATTAGCAATCATTAAAACTCGGAATAATGATAATATTTTCTGGAGAAAGTGGAACGCGATATATATATCGAAAGAAAGAAAAAGATAATAACTCTTCTTTGAATATTCCGTATAACTAAGATGATAAACATTTTCACATGTGTGTGTCATATGTCCAGTTTTCGAGCTTGACGTTTCGTGATTTCTGTTTAACCGCGCAATTGCGTCGCGCGCAAAATATTGTTATGAAAATCTTTAGAGATTCAAAAATACACGCCGCAAATCGGTGGCGTCCGCATCCGTCACGTCATATATATCATCGGATAGTAATTAACGATACAAGAGAACGCAATTGCGAAATCAATTATAGCAGTATAATTATTACAATTTGATAACGTTTACGGCCTGTGTACGTGTGTACGCGCGCGCGTGTGAGTGTGTGTGTGTGTGCGCTAAATAATGATTGCCTGTGGTAACGATCAGCGGAGGAACTTTAATTATGTGCCAATTACATCAGTCGTGATAACACGATCGGGGCTAGAGCGCGATTTAAACTATGCAGTTTCGAAATCCCACGTGGATTTTAATTTATTCCTTCGTGTGTGTCCAATGATGATTTCATCCTTTGACCGCGAAACAACGCCGATAAACATTAATCGAAATTACCGGGGAGGGTACAATTGCACAATCGTCACCGAAATCCTTTTGTCGGTCGTCGTGTATATTTTTCAAAATTCAGTGTGTCTCGGTTTATTCGATTGACTATTGACGAGTGCAACACGTGTCGTTCGCGTTATCGATATTGGATATGCTGCTTTGGAATCGACGGACGCCCAAAATGTCGCTTCAGCGAGTTTGTGTCGCGAGTTTTTTTGCCGTCGGCGCCAGTAATCAGATTTTCAATATTTACCACGCCGGCAACGTTGACGACACGCAGCCTCATGATATGAATAGACATTTTTCCGTTACCTCCGTAGTTTGCCAGCAGTTTTTTACATTTTGAATTATCAATTTTCGTTATCGCTTTAAATTTCTCAATAGTTTCCGCATTAAAAAGCTTTTATACAAATTGTTTGGAAATTGATTTTATTGTTTGTTTTATTTTTGTCTCTTTTTGTATTCGGCAATTTTATTCTTTCGAGTTGCGATCGAAAATTTTGCGCTTGTTGTGATCATTTCGCTCGCATATAAAATCCACAACAGATGCGCCAGCAAAAGTCTATCTGTAGCGAAGTTGCAAAAAAAAATTAATGCAGTAGAAATAGAACGGATCCCGTTCAATTTTTTTGTTGTCTTTAATATCCACATCTTGTCTCTCTGTTATTCGATGTTAATGACATTTGACGTGTGTGTGCGTGTGTGTGCGCGCGCGCTTTACAAAGAGAACTTTTTACATCGCTTTTTTAAAGCTTTCACTCTACACAGCTCTCTTATATCGATTTAAATATCTTTCTTTCTCGACAAGAATCGTTCGCGGCGGAAGTCTTGTAACAAAAATACGAAAACTTCGTTGTATGACGGGATCAAAGAGAGCGAGAGAAAAGTTAGCGGGTTTCGCTTAAAAACCGACAACGCTGGTGTGTTGTGGCAGCGAGAAAATCTCTGTTTTACAAGAATTGTAAAACAATCGAGTTTACGTTCGTTTCGTTTGCCCCGCGCAAACATCCGCAATGTTTTGGATCTGTTAACACACACAATTCCGTTAACAAGTACTCTAAAATGTATATTTTACCACAAAATTATTGTTATGCTTTAGCGAGACTTTTGTGTGTATTTCTATTCGCGTGCTTATTATTGCGCGTGACACATATCGCGAACGATATGCATTTACATGCGAGTTGTATGTTCGCTCGAATTTATGGCGTTTAAAAAATTCTCTGTTGGGGGAAATTTACATTTTCGACGAAACAGCTGATTGTGGGTACAAAATATTCCAATGAAAAATAATTTACACAGTGCAAAAGAAAAAAAAAAGGGGATTTTGCATAATTTACATTTTTAACAAATATTAAAAAATCTGGCTTTTTTGTCGAAGTTAATTTTGCTCGCGTTTCTCTTACCTTTTGGCGAAATGAATTTGTAATTTGTTTCTAAAATAAAAGTGATCACATTATTACAAATTATCACGCCATCATAATTATTATACGCGTGAGATATCAAGTTAATTTATACACTTGTAGCTTTTTTAACATTGTTAAAATTGTTACGGGAGAATTTCATGTATCGCATTTAATAAATTATCGAATTTCCTGTACTACATTACTTTATATACATAATATCGCGAGATTGTCGGGTTTTTTTTTCTTTTTATTAGAAAACGAGAAACGGGAGAAGAGCACACACACTTCCATTTACAACCGTATCCATTACTCACAGATACATTATTCATTTGCCCCCGAAAAAGATATCCGTAAAATATTGTTACGTTCGGGACGTAACACGTGATTTTCGGAGTGAATGTCACGTGAGAATGACAAAAGAACATTCTTTAAATAATATACAGCCCGCACGTTCTGATATATTTAATATATCTCGCGCGATATATTTAAATATATTTAAATATACATCGCTTCTATTCCCAATTCAAATTCCCATTCAAACTTTTTGACCGTCGTCGAGATAACTTTTCTGTCTTTTTTTTCCATCGATATGAACAACCGCGCTGTTCGTGCCGGCAGTTCTAACAATATTTAGGTTGGTGTAAAAATAATTGCGATTTTTAATTCGTCAATTTGATGAAAATGTCAAACAACCGAATGGTTAACGTTACCTCTTTGGTACCGCGCCGCGTAACATCACTTGACTACCTGCAAGCCGCAAGCAAACGTTAATTAAATTAAAAAATTGACAGGCACAAGAGTTGATACACTTGAAAACTACTACTTACAACGAAGTATCCAGACTAAGAACGTAATTGAAAAACGTAAACAATCCAATGGTTTCGGCGATATGTTGTTGACTACAGTCGACGCTCGGGCCGTACAAGACACATTCGGCGGCCGTCGACTAAAGTCGACGCTCAGTCGTACAGATACATTCGGCGTTCGTCGACTATAGTCGACGCTCGTATTCAAGAAGTTAAGATTTGTTGCAATCTCCCGACTTGTTTTGCGTGGGTTTTGCTTTAATAATGGCTTTAAATTATTTATCGTTGCTCGTGGACAGACGTCCGCGTTCTTTCTCATCTTTGAAGGTCAGTTGTTAAATATATTTTTGATATTCGTGTTGAGCTGTACGTTCGTTGACGTTTTTTCAAACGTTCGGTCGATATCGCGAACAGCTCTTTCGCTGCTTTACATCCCGTTTCGAACTCATACCATAAAATTTGTTCAAATTTGTTTTTTTTTTTTTTTTTTTTTTTTTTTTTTTATTCCATATTTAATTTGACAGCTTAAAATAAACAAAACGAAAACTCATTAGCATAAATCAGTAGAGCAAATGTGTCGGCTTTAAAGTGGTATATCGCACGAACATAGTTAAATAAAAGTTTTAAACTGATATTCACTGCCAGTACTGAAAATCTATACTTTTCGCGTCGCATGTGTTATATAGATTTCCAGTGAATATCGGAAAGCAGATTTATTCGAAAATAAGCGCATCAAAGTTTAAAATAAACAGCAATTATTTCTGCACCAATATAATCCCAACGCTCTTTCTCTCGTCTCGACAATTATTAATGTGTTTGCACGGTATTTCTGTTCTCTCTGATTAGCGTCGACGCCAGAAACAAGCAGTCGGACGCCGCGACAAGATGGGTGGATCCAACGCTGTTCTCGAATCGCGCTTTCTTCATGCTGGACAGTCAACCGGCGCAATTGGGCGTCGAACACACCAGACAGGAGGACGCCGGTATCTACAGGTGTCGGGTGGACTTTCAGATCGGTCAGACAAGAAACTCCAAAGTCAATTTAACAGTAATCGGTAAGTTTCACCGAATGCAATACACAATCCGTTGATGGGAAAGAGAAAAACAAATTTGACGGAAACGTCAAATAAATATGAACACGCGTAAAAGTGCCTTGGCTCCTTCCTTAAAAAAAAAAAAAAAAAAAACACAAAAATTTGCACAAGATTATCGAGTAACTCGGCGAGATTTTTCTCACTTGGATTTCAATTTTTAATCTCAGTCAAATGAAGAGAAAGACCGTTTCTCTCGGTCGTTTCTCGGGTAACCGGAGCCAATTGTAACTTTGTCGTGACTCCTTCCTGCACATAATTACATCTCCCATTAATACCTAATTAGCAACCCGAGCTTCAGACTCGTATATTGCGACTTGTGCGAGAAATGACACGAAAGTTTTACGAGCTTCGTTCGTAAATGCCGCCGCCGCCGCCGCCGTCGCGCTTAAAGGGTCGCCTGTAGTTTCGCAACTTCACTCTTCACAAAACCGTTGTAAGGTATTGCGAGTGCTGCTTCAAGCAAGAGTTGTAAAGGATCAACTTGACGCTTATTGCCCGAGATCGTCTAAAAAGAGAGCTTTAGCTGGATTTTAAACCATTTGATGTGTTCGCTCTAAAAATGAGGCAAGTGGTACCCGCGCAACACAAGTCAACAGGTTGCAAAATCGATGAGCGAACAATAATTATTTGTCGCAACTTTTGCAACTTTCTTATAAGCACAACTCGCACGATTGACGATTTCAAGATACAAAACTTGTCAAAACAAAAGTGACAGTATTTTTGAATTTTATTCGCAAAGTAAAAAACAAATTTTTTACTTTCACAAAAATTATACATTAAGTTATTTTTACTGAATTTATTTTTATCAACTTATCTCTTTTAACGCGCATTTTTTATTTCTGAAATGTTGTTTAGTGAGAAAATTGAGAGTTATCTTTTTGCATAGAAAACGGAATTTAAAACGCGCTGACCGTGTGACATTTGCCGTCTGTCTCACGTTAAATCGCGAACTCCGACAAAACTGTTAATTAGTTGCGGTTTTTAAAAAACTATTTTTCTAACTGTATTTTAACAATACGTTTTACTTCCACTTTCGTTTTTCATTGTCGTTTGACGTGACGGGCATTCGCAGCGCGCCAACAAAAGAATCGCAAAACGGCAATTAAGCGACGTAATAAATTTGAAATAAAGTAAACGGGCGGGGGTGTGGAGGACGAAGCGAGCGCACGACGAAGAGAACACGTGAAAGGGAAAAAGAGAGAGAGAGAGAGAGAGAGAGCGAGAGAAAAAAAGGGAAGCGGGAAAAGTCAAGGAGAGAAAAAGGAATCCAATTAACAATCCTGTTGAAAAGTTATGGAAACGCCGACGTGGGCGAGAGCGTGCGTCGCCTCGGGATTCGCTGTTGGCCGGCATGCGCCAAGGAATTTTTCTCGCGGGATAATTAGCTCCTCCCCTCTTCTCTTCGTGCGTCCTTCGGGCCCACCACGGGCATTCGCCCACGTACCGTGCACGTCCGAGCTGTGCTTACTCGCAGACACACTCCCGTTGGTAAACCTTTTCCAGATGAACGCCAATTAACGTGCCTCTATTCCCGTTGCGCTCTCGCCGGCGAAATTGCACATCGCTCTCTCGACGCTCTTTTCTTTTTTTCCGCAACAAAACACACGGGGATGCCTCGGCGGTTAAATGTCCTTTTAATCGTAACCTCACCGAGGCGCGATTTAACAAACATTTAATTTCTTTCCTTCGTTTGTGTGTGTGTGTGTGTGTCTGTGTGTCTGTCTGTCGAGAGAGTAAATAATTGAACAAATCCGACTTTTATTAAAATAACATTCGCGAGTGTTTGCGAGGAAGAGGAAAACTTGAAAGTTTATTAGTTCCATCGGTTTGATCTCCGCTAACGTTTCTGAAAAACACCCGTACCCGGTGGCAAAACACTGTGTACCCAACATTTTTTAAATAAAAAACAAACATTTTTTTTTTTCCCAAAATTTTTTTTTTTTTTTTTTTTTTTTTTTTTTTTTTTTTTTTTTTTTTTTTTGCAACGAGGAGCGACTGTTCACAAGAGCGGAAGAGACATGGATGAGAGTAGTAGAACGTCGCACGCGAAGAATTTAAATCGTACTTCGCGTTCCGTCGCGTATTTGCGCGTCGCAGATGTCAAAGACTCGTGGCGCGGAGAAAAGCGTGAGCTTTGGGGGGTCGAGGGAGGAGGGGGGGCAAAGACGAGAGAGGAATGCACTGTCGCAGTGTGTCAGAGATGAGAGTGCAAAGAGGACGGATCGGCCATTAGTAGTGAGAATTTGCTTTCGGAAGGCGGCACGTTTTGTATTCGAAGATGTATGGCAGAAAACGTATCTGGGTTGAAACCCGATACACATTATCGAGTGACCGAGTTAAGGTCCGTTTCTTGTTTGTACGTGTACACGTACAGTATCACGTAGAAAATAGCAAGGTAATTCTTTATTCTATTAAAAGCGATAACGCATAGATTTTTTTATATTTAAAGACATATAACATTCTCGAGGTATTTTATCTCTTTGGATTTGTTTAGTCAACGTGAGCCAATGTGTTCGCGCGAAATATGCTTCCGGAATGCGGAAAATTCAACTCGCAAGGTGTCTTTTTCTCAGTGGATTTTTTTTTAGTTTTCTCGGAAAGGCAAATGGAATATTTCATCTACATGCAAATCAAGCGTCCTCGATGAATTTTTGAATTGCAATTCAATTTTAATTACTACGCGCGTTAATTTATACGTTCAACTAAACAAACAAATTAATTAATTTAATTCAATAAGTTAAACAAACTATATATATATATATATTTTGCGCAAACGCACGTAGCACATTGGCACCGAGTAAATCTTCGCTTAGTAGTTCGATGTTGAGCGCGAGCTCACGTGTGTTGTTACATTTGTTATTTTATCTTTGTTGAAACAGGAAGAAAATTAATAAGTGAAACAGCTCGTGAGACCTTCAACAAAGATAAATTATCCGTGATAAAGTATCCGAGTCAATACGCAGTCGGTGTGGTTTTATTGAAAAGAAGCAATTCAGACATCTTTACGGATCGGATCTTCTTCGGTAGATAACAAAAAACAATATTTATTGTTGAAAAAGAAAATTGATAAAGGGTTTTTATTCTGAAGTTAAGAAACTGTTTGTCTCCGTAAAGACTAACGCGGCGAGTTTTGCCACGCAAAACAAAACAAAAAAAAAAAAATAGACATCTCAATCCGAGATAAGATTGCTTTGAAAGAAAGTCTTCGTATATCGACGCCGCAGACGTTCGTAAATATCCAACTCGTCATATTTTCCGTCAGAGAGATACCGAGGGTTGTCCCTGTATCGCGACAGCTGCCCAAGTTGGTGTATTGGACAACTTTGCGCTTGACAGTGGCTTCCGGGGGAGGGGCAAAAAAAAAAAAAAAAAAAAAAAA